TCCAGATCCACCTCTTGTTCTTTCCCTTTCTTTTCCTCTGTCTTCCTAAGAAATCTTACCTAATTATTTAGCTGAGGGAAATGTTTATCCATGTTTTCAACTAATAAATATATTTGGAAACCTACCATGGGTCAGTCATAGAGTTGTTACACAAGTATATAAGATTAAAAATTTAAAAACCAACACTATGTACTCACTTTGAATTGCATGTGGTACGTACTTGTAGTCCCAGCTACTAGGAAGGCTGAGGCAGGGAGATCACTTGAGACCAGGAGTTCAAGATCAGCCTGGGCAATACAGTAAGACCCTCGTCTCAGGTTTAAAAAAAAAAAAATGTCTGGTTGAGAACCAGTAAGACACCTCTTAACCACATTGAGTGCATCCAAGGGTTCCAGGGAGCTGGAGATTAAAGGAGCAATCAGAACAATTTGGAGAGAGTTGCTGAGCACTCCAACTCCAATAAAGTAAAATGGGGTATGCCACCTCCTATTCCCAAATCAAAATAGATGGGCTGCCAAGGGAACACCAATGTTTTATAAGTGAGCTTCTGGAGCAGTCAGATTTCCTCCCGAAAACTTCAAAGGGTAAGAGATGGAATGCCTAGCACCTAAGGAATGAGCCAAAAATACAAAATGGCTGCATTGGGCGCCTTGGATTGCATATCTTGTCAGCAGAAATAGGGCGTTTCCTACAAACTGTGAGGCACGCTACAAAAGAGCCAAGATATAGAGTCCCGGGGCAGGGGGTGCCAAGAGGACCATCCTAAGTGGCGACTCATTAAGGCTGATAACCGCAAATCAAGCATATTTAGCTCCCACAATCAAATGTTATTTATATTTGATTATGACTTTGAGGGAAGAATTTGTCTTATCAATTAGTTCTCCAGATTCATGTAGGCAGCACTCACACCAAAGTTGTCGTATGATCCTCAAAGGGTGTCTTTGGATGACGTTACATAGACACGTCTAACTTTATAGAAGTAGACTTCCAATATATGTGACATAGATGTGCATTCAGATCACATTTACTGGTATTTATGCTTAAGCACAGTTTGATATTGAGTATGTCTCTATTCGGAAGGGAGTGTAAAAAATTGAAAAATAAGAGGACAGAAACAACTGACAACTAATGCTGTCCCAGGGTAATATGGTACAGCATCTTAAAAATAAATCTAAAATCTTTTTTGCAACCAGATGTATTATCAATATCTTATAGAACCACAGTGGAAAACAATATATTCTCATTTTTTTAATTTACAATTTTATTGTTTTTTGAAATTATTTTTTATTTTTCCAGTATATTATGGGGGTACAAATGTTAAGGTTACATATCTTGCCCTTGCCCACCCCCGAGTCAGAGCTTCAAGCGTGTCCATCCCCCAGTTGGTGCGCATCACACTCATTATGTATATACCCATCCCCTCCCCCACCTGCCTGACACCCGATAAATGTTATTCCCATATATTCACTTAAGTGTTGATCAGTTAATACCATTTTGCTGGTGAGTACATGTGGTGCTTATTTTTCCATTCTTGGGATACTTCACTTAGTAGAATGGGTTCCAGCTCTATCCAGGAAAATACAAGAGGTGCTATATCATCATTGTTTCTTAAAGCTGAATATTACTCCATGGTATAAATATACCACATTTTATTAATCCACTCATGTATTGATGGGCACTTCAGTTGTTTCCACAGCTTTGCAATTGTGAATTGTGCTGCTATAAACATTCGAGTGCAGATGTCTTTTTCATAGAGTGACTTTTGTTCTTTTGGGTAGATGCCCAGTAATGGGATTGCTGGATCAAATGGTAGAATGGAGAATCTAAAAAATAAGCTTAAGAAACTCAAGATCACCCTCTGTGAGAAAAGGGAGGAGGTTTGATTGAATTAATTAAATCTCTGCTTACACTTCCATTGGAATAACATTCCAAACTTGTGTCGGATATACTTAGATTGGAAGAGAAAGAAAATCTCCACCAACAACTTTCCTACCCACTGGTAACACCCATGTATGCTCTTATATTTGTTCTCTGGGCCCAGGTACAAACAGTTTTGCTTATATTCTGCATAACTTCTTTAGGACACCAGGTCCCTCTTAGAACTTGAGAACTACAAAAGCTGTATGAATTCACACTGTCACTGCAGGTGATAAAGACCCAGCTGAAGACAAAAGGAGATTTGTGGGCTCATGTACAGGCATGGCTGGAGGGAAGTGGGTCTTAGGCATATCCAGAACCAGGAACCCAAGTACCACTGGAATGCTCCCTCCCTACAGTTGTGTGTGGGTGTGTGTCAGCTTGTTTTTCTCCAGCTGAAGCTCAGCTGGTTGTGTGTGTGTGTGTGTGTGTGTGTGTGTGTGTGTGTGTGTGTGTGCGCGCGCAGTGGGGAGATGAGGGGTTGGTGCCAGATTCATATTCTTATGGCTTCATGGCCATGGAGGTGTCAGAAAATTGACCTCTCCCCCATCTCCAGTTTTTAAAGTGGGAGAAATATCCTGACTGGAACACAGAGTTGGACCTGGGTAGTTAGACCCAGAGGTCATATGCCCACCCCTGGGTATAACCCCTGTAGACAGAAGAGGGCTATATCCTGGGTACACGCCCACCCAGGGCAACACAGATGCTGGGCAGATGAGCACTGGGGCCACTTTAAAATGCAAACAAACTCAACACATCACTGGGAAACTAATTAATGTGTGTGCATCATAAAGGAGAATGTTAGACAAAAGCAAACAAATATTAACACATGAAGCCTTGGATAATCAATTTGTATAAACATATGATTGGTTCTGACAAGGAGCACAACATAGAATTAAATTAGGTACTGTTTCATTTATTCTTTCTAGAAGGACAATATCTTTTCTTTGGTAAGATAAAGATAAAAGCGACAACTCAACTAGCAGCAGTAAAGTGTTGGCCATTCTAATAATTTCTGTTGCATCCTTCCCATGTTTAGCCAAACCATTCCTAGGTGGAAAAAAATAAAGGACAAACACATTGATCGACATCAATTTAGACTATTTATTGTATTGATTAATGAATTTCTTAACATTCATGATACTCTTTAATCAAGAATATAAAGTCATCTACTTAGGTTTTGCCACTTAAGGTTTAGAACATTCTTAGAATTATATTATCTTAAAGAAACAGACTGGAATGACAAGCAAGTAAGTTTGAAGATGGAGCAATCATCAACAATATAACTTTTTTCAAAACCATAACCCTAATATAGACATAGATTACACTCATGGACCTGGTACATTCTAAGAAGGATCCTGGTTACCAGTACTAGCAGAGTGTCCTTTCAACCATGTAACCAGCCAGAAAGACTATTTTACATATGAGTGTGTTACTCAGAAAAAGCCTCTTTCCTCCCTCTAATATTATAATACATGACACAATTGTGGCTGTATCTGAAGAGGAGTTTCAACCACCACCATCATGGTGCATGAATTCCTACCCTTAGTGCCAGAGGAATGATATATTGTACTGTACTATGCTTACCTCTGTCCAGAGGCCAGCTGGCTGGCCTGTTTTGGGGGTGCCTAGAATTTTTTCCCATTTGATACACAGGGTGCTTCTGAAGCAGTCTCCCTGGGCAACTGTCTCATATTGAGGATACCTCTAGGGAAAAGTTTCCTATCATTATTGCCTCTATTTAGATAAGGCTGAATTAAAAGTACTTTTTTTTTTTTAAAGAAGTAGCCTTGGCAGAAGAAAAGCCACTATTCTATAGAAAAAGTCATTCAATATTTAAAATCTATTCTGAGCAGAATGAGAGGCTGAAAAGAAAATATCTTTTATTTGATTTCATTTTTTGACTCTGCTGTCATTGTGACTGAGGATTCATGATAAATTACCCCACAGACCTTGGCTTGAGAGGAGGTACTATACAAGTAGCCGACTAGGCCTCAGTAACATAGAGAAATGATCTTAAGGACCCTTGTGGATACAAAGGATTACTGCATTGTTTTAAAATGAGAAAATTGTGAAGATCAGTTAGGTTTCTAGCCCTCTTCCGAGAATAAGCCTTAGTCTTTAGCAAAGCACAGATAGTTAGTTGGTTTCTTATAAAAGCAACTTCTTGGTGGGATGTCAGCACCAATAGATCCAATACTCTTTGGTCTCTCCCAACAACCTGTTACTTCTCCCTCGAGAGACATCCTTGCTTGCATTCTTAGGCATCTATTTAGTTACAAGTAGTACAGGAGCGAAGGGGATGCTCCCTGGAGCAGATATAATCACAAAACCAGAAGCCCCAAAAGGTAAGTCAGAAGAGCTTCAAGGAAAAACAATCATTATGATAGCATTTCTTCTAATCACAAATTCACATATATATTATCTTTCTTTCAGGATTAGTAAGTCATAATTTAGTTATGAGTGAAAATATAGCAGTAAAACTCTTTCTAGGGCCCATCTTGGTGAAAACTGTATATAATTTAGCATACATACCATATTAGGCAAAAATACATCTAATGCAAGCACCAACTGTAAAGATAATCTTTTCAGCACTTAAAAACAAATAAGTTAACCATAATGCTTTCCTTTTGTTTTGCACAAAACTGTATAGCACATCTGAGAGAACAAAGTCTATATGGCTGCATAAAGCCTAAAATTTTAGAAGAAAACTAATCAAATACTGCTTGTTAAATATACAGTTATGATTCCCGATGTCCTTTCACATAAATCCTGTGTGTTTAAAATGCAAAACATGCAGCCTGGGACAAATGTCTGCATTTCAATTTGTGATCTGCTTCATTGGCATGAGTTTTGGTGAAACCTGGTAAAAGAAAGAGGAAAAACAATAATCAAATTATGAGAAACCACATGGTATAAATGTCTCTCCTTTGAATTTCCAGACTTGAAAGATGTAAGGCACAAGCAGCCTTGCCATGGACATTGCCTGAAGTTTCCTTATTATTTTCTACTCTGAAATACCAAGAGATAGAACTGTTTACATTTTGGGTATTTCATGGTTCTCATCCTTCTTGTATTATATAGCTCCTCAGTTAAGGATAACTGGGTCTAGCAACAAGAAGGGGGTGAAAGAGGACAGAGGGAGCCTAATAAAGGATCCCGATAAACAAGCCTCCCTATTGACTGGATCACTGATCTCCGAGACGGATGCCTCTGAGACTTCACTCAAGACGCAGTACAAAGCACAAGTCTCTAAAACCTCTAAATAGATCCAGCCAATCCACAATTCTCTTGAGACACGCTTTATGTAGTCTTTGGATTACCTAGATACATATTAATGAAGACATGTATGATCAATGATAAATCTTGTCAGAAATGTCATCATCAGAATAGAAATAATGCCAAAGGTAATAAAAGGATTCCAAGTTATTACAAAAAGGAGGTAACAGCATTAAAATTGTTAAGTGTTGATTATAATTATGTTTAGCGTACAGAACATCAAATGCTTTCCGGGGAGTCTTGAAACAGAGAAAAGTCAGAATCAGTCTACAAAACTCTACATTTAAGGCAGACCTGGTGGAAGGAGAAACCTAAATGTAAGTGGTTTAGCTTAATTGTGACAGATTTTTCGAAGTATACCAGTTTCAGATTTTTAAATTCAATATAGCAAATATCCATTGGAACCTAGTTAGTAACAGTACCCATGGAAAGCACAGCAGGGAATACCAAAATTTAGATGATTTTTTTAATCCCTCAAGGATGTGGCAATCAAAATGGGCCTAATTAGCATTTTGTCTTCCAGGATAAACAATTAATATTTTGTTAATGAATGAACAAATGAATGAATAAGTGGATGATCAGATAATCTTCCAAGAACTAGAAAAAAGGTTCCTAAGAGAGGTTATGTCAGAATTAAAAATTGAAAGAGCAGGCAATTATTTGGCTTCAATGAGGTTAAATATTTTTAGTTCATTTTGTATTAACTCTACACAATTAACTCTTTACAATGTCAAGAGTTAATGCCTGTTCTTGCATTTTTCTACTAAAAGAATAAATAAGTCCAGTATGGTTTGGTGATGTATAGCTTAGGATAAATGAAAACTCATTCAGACTTGTCATTTCCAAGAGCAGGCGTATAATAATAGACAAAATAATAAACAGACAAAAGTGACAACCCATATATGCATAGACCTTCAACTCTACTAAAAATAAAAAAACATATGGGCACTTAATATTTAGATAAATATGTCTCGCAAACAATTCTTTTTTTTAACAACACAGCATCTGTGAAAATAATTTAATGAAATGAAACTCTTTTTTTGAATACAGATTATTTTTAATAGAAGCTTCATAACATTTCCTTTAAAAGGAAACTGGACACCTTAAATTTTAAAACTAAATATCTGATCCTTTTCCTTGTCAGCCCTATTTTGAGCTCTTAATACTATTTATATACTCAATGTGCAAAATAACTTTTATCAGAAAAATAGAAGATGAAGCTTTATGTAGACTGACTTGGTCTGCTTACTTAGTAATGAAAACCATTTACTAAATCACCATTTCTCATTCTGTTCTACCAGTCTCATCAACATTGTGAATCCGGCCGGGCGCTGTGGCTCACGCCTGTAATCCTAGCTCATGGGAGGCTGAGGCGGGCGGATTGCTCAAGGTCAGGAGTTCAAAACCAGCCTGAGCAAGAGCGAGACCCACCAGTTCCTTGAGAATAGGAGACCCTGTCTCTACTATAAATAGAAAGAAACAAGGCCAACTGATATATATATATATAAAAATTAGCCGGCATGTGGCACATGCCTGTAGCCCCAGCTACTTGGGAGGCTGAGGCAGAAGGATCACTCGAGCCCAGGAGTTTGAGGTTGCTGTGAGCTAGGCTGACGCCACGGCACTCACTCTAGCCTGGACAACACAGCGAGACTCTGTCTCAAAAAAAAAAAAAAAAAAAAAAAAAAACATTGTGAATCCATGGAAGCCAAAGCAGATTATCCTGCCGACATGATCTACAGGCTAAGCACAAAATGATATAAGTATAGAAGATAAACCAACGCTTTGTCTTCCTACCTCATTCATATCCCAAGAGTATACGGTTTAATTCTGGCATCATACTAATTCATAATAGATATTTGAATATACATTTATGCAATTTGCCAAGGAATGCCTACAGCTGGCTTCTTTCAGATTTCATTGCAAATGTACAAAAATAAACAGTGTTCTTATTTAATCTTTTACCATTGGTGGTTTAGGCATATTCCTGCCTGGAGAATAAGACCAAGGCCCTTGGGAGTAAGAACTATATCAATTAGTTCTATTTTATTCACACTTTATAGCTCAATATAGGATATACACTTGGTATTTAATGAATAATCATAGATGACTAATGACCTACAGAAGTTTATTTTACAACATGATGTCCAAATACAGATTAAATTTATTTTTTAATTTTTAATTGAAAAATAAAAACAGAAAAAAATTGTTTCAAAAAAAGTCCATAAGCCGGGCGCGGTGGCTCACGCCTGTAATCCCAGCACTCTGGGGGCGAGGCGGCGGATTGCTCGAGTCAGGAGTTCAAAACCAGCTGAGCAAGAGTGAGACCCGTCTCTACTATAAATAGAAAGAAATTGGCCACAGCCTCTTTTGGAGTTCCACAAGATATGTCCTACCAATTAAGAGGAAACTCCTCCTTTCAATTGACAAAAACATAAATATAAGGCAATGGTCATTACAGATATTTTTAAGAAGTTGTTTCATGAGATAGTAAAGGACATATTTTCGTTCCATATTTTTGTTATGACAAATTGTATTGTGACATATAGGAGTCTTAGATTCTTTTTAAAGTACCCAAATACCTCATTATAATCACTCTTTAATACCCTGAAGCCACACATTATCTGATGCTGTCATATTTAGTCTTCTTCTTGGAATTGTCAGTATTTTCTCAGTCACCTGATAGCCACATTCTATATCTTACCCATTCACTTGCTCATATTCTTAGGTATATAGGACTTTTACCCACACATTTTAAAATTGCTTTGTACTAGGTGCTTACTATTTTTTCTATAAGGCTGTTCAACACCTTGTTAATAATTCCTTCTAGGACATTCCATGCTAGTTATACATTGAAGGATAAGTTATAGGGCTTTCTTTTCCAAATAGAAATATTGAATAACTTGGTATATAGTCACATATAGATGTATAATGCCTACCTATGCAGTGATAACCACATGAAATGCTTTCTGAATTATGACATGGAAGATCTTCTGAATTAACTAAAAAAGAAATGTTATCCTCAATGTACTCCTTATTATTATTAAATGTATTCTATTTGATAACCCAGCTATTAATAGATCAGATCACTATAGTCCCTAGTTAGAGAGAAACACCCATTGCATGTGACTCATCTGTCAGGGTCTAAAGAGGGCCATAGATCATTAGATTCCGCCAAAGCATTCTTCATCTGGATGGTTCTGCTGATACCACACCTTTTCATTGTGAGCAAACACTGACATATGAATTAACATTCATCTCAACAGCCTAATTTAGAGAAATAAGACTATATGCCACTGTGGAAAGAGGGGATTGAACGATATATAAGAGGGGCCACAGAGATATATTCAATGTATCAAAACATGAGAACTAGCACCTTGTGGGGTAAGAAACAGTAAAAACCCATCTCATTTTATTGATTTACCCACATGAATTTAAAAAAAACATACACGAGGGTCTTCCTTTGTACACTATCTTTTGCAGCAGAAAATTGAACATCCTGTGGATCTCAAAAATGTTACCTGATGAAGAGGTTAACTCTTCCCCATGGGGGGGGGAAGAACAGCTGATTAGAATGTTTGCTTTTATCACTAGAGTAAAAATCCTAAATAGTTAAGGTATAAACAAATGCCTTTTCCCCCCGCTGAGTTATTGAAAAGCTAATTAAAGATGTGTTTTCATGTAAGGTATTACTAGGAGACTTATTTTTCAAAAGAAATCAGAAAAGGTTAATAGACAAAGACCTTGGTAGAGTACTAGGAAACAGTCATTATGTGCATAATGAATTATGCAACAAAAATTGTTTTTAAAGAAATTTGTTATGCATCGATAGTTACAAGCCAAGCACATAGTACATGAGGAAGACATATGAAATTATAGGCATACCATATCAAGTAACTTTTTTGTTAGTTTCTCCAAGATAGGTAGCTACAACATTACTTTCTTCTCATTATATAATATTTCATTTAATTAGTAGATTGGTTTTAAAAAGGTATCTGAGAATCAATCCCTTTCCTTCATTTCTTCAGAGACATTTCACCTTTACTTTTGATTAACTTCAAATGGACTGAGCCACTCTGACAAGCCCCATTAGGTAGGCGATTGGTGACTTATGAACAAGCACTTATATTAAAGGGAAATAGTTATTCAGATACTATTCTCTTTGTTTTGAAACAGATTTGAGGCGGTTCTTAAAGGATGTATTCATCTGTTTTGCAATCTGAGTGTTTACCCAATAAATGTATCTTTGAATGCAGGATAACCTATTTTGTGATTATAAATCTGGTGGTGTCAGAAGTCACAATTTTAACATTGCCATTGGATGGAAGAAAAGGCATAGAATTAAACGAAAGTCTTAAGTCATAGATGGATTAAAAATAAGGAGTATCATTTCTCCATAGTGGCTCACATTTTTCACTTAACAAGTTTAACCATAGAAGACATATAACCAACAGAACAAGACTGCAAAAGACTGCGCATACAGCAGCTTAAGATCAGGCTCCACTTTTTGTTTCTAGCAGTTCCAGCTGTCCTCCCTCCTGCCTCTATGTCTGAGCAGATCTTGGCCTGTGAGTCAGAGCACAG